AATTACCTACAATATCACAGCATTGTGTATAATTCTTTGTTGTTAAAATATGTTGTGTTACAACTCAGTTGCAAGTACTTTTATAATCTGTCTGCCCCAGGCTCTCAATATCTGGCAAAGTTTTTCTAGTAGGCCAACCAATCATTGTCTTCCTATACAATACATATTATGTATCGCACAAACTGCGTTGGTGCTAGCTAACTTGGTAAAAGTCTGAGGCGTGCACTTTTACCAGACCTCTCTGCCCAAAAAAGGCTGTAAAGTCCTAGTCATGTACTCAATAACTTCCTGCTCCAGAGCATACAATTATGGACCAATTTATACCATGACCAATCAGAAAAAAATTTGGCTTGACTGCCAATTGCATTCAATTTACATAAGGCCTAAAAAGCAATTGCACACCAGCAAAAAAATTGTAGGCAGATGTTTTTTTCCCCACTGCACAGCACCCTCTGTTGACAATATTTGTGCGCAGAAAAATATTTCAGGAAAAAAAAAAATAATATGACCATCAACATTCTGAGTGGTTTGTCATGTGTTCATTAATAATTGATGTAATATAAATACAGTCATGGTGAGTTACAATTGCTATATGAATACAGTCATTGTGAGTTACAATTGCCATATGAATACAGTCATGGTGAGTTACAATTGCCATATGAATACAGTCATGGTGAGTTACAATTGCCATATGAATACAGTCATTGTGAGTTACAATTGCCATATGAATACAGTCATGGTGAGTTACAATTGCCATATGAATACAGTCATGGTGAGTTACAATTGCCATATGAATACAGTCATGGTGAGTTACAATTGCCATATGAATACAGTCATGGTGAGTTACAATTGCCATATGAATACAGTCATGGTGAGTTACAATTGCCATATGAATACAGTCATGGTGAGTTACAATTGCCATATGAATACAGTCATGGTGAGTTACAATTGCCATATGAATACAGTCATGGTGAGTTACAATTGCCATATGAATACAGTCATGGTGAGTTACAATTGCCATATGAATACAGTCATGGTGAGTTACAATTGCCATATGAATACAGTCATGGTGAGTTACAATTGCCATATGAATACAGTCATGGTGAGTTACAATTGCCATATGAATACAGTCATGGTGAGTTACAATTGCCATATGAATACAGTCATGGTGAGTTACAATTGCCATATGAATACAGTCATGGTGAGTTACAATTGCCATATGAATACAGTCATGGTGAGTTACAATTGCCATATGAATACAGTCATGGTGAGTTACAATTGCCATATGAATACAGTCATGGTGAGTTACAATTGCCATATGAATACAGTCATGGTGAGTTACAATTGCCATATGAATACAGTCATGGTGAGTTACAATTGCCATATGAATACAGTCATGGTGAGTTACAATTGCCATATGAATACAGTCATGGTGAGTTACAATTGCCATATGAATACAGTCATGGTGAGTTACAATTGCCATATGAATACAGTCATGGTGAGTTACAATTGCCATA